CTCCCCAAAACCCCAAAACCCCAAAACCCCAGATGGCTAGGACCCATTGAATAATATGAACATCATTTCAAAATAAATGGTGACGCATTAGTGTTAATTTAAAACCAAAACATGGGGGTTTTACCCAAATTAAGCCAAGGAATCGTTCTAGAGTTGTTCTAAGGGGCTTTAAGGCATTTTTATTGAGTTTAGAATGGGGAAAAGGTATATAAAGTGGGGTTATAGCTCTTGATATCGGATTTATTTGGTTGATCAAGGTCTTGACGAAGTTTTTGGATTTTTAGCAGAAGGAATGCTGAGGAAACAGTAAAAATCCTTTGAATATTTTTCAAAGGATTGATTAAGAAGTTGAAAAATTGTGCAGAAATGCAGAACATTTCTGTTATAATTTAACATAATAAAACATTGCCAAGATAGAGGGTTAAGGTACCACAAATTTTATGAATTTAATAATTATGAGACTGAGGCCCTTGGGCTTTGTCTAAAGTACATTTGACTTCTCATTGGCATCATAGTTTGATAAAATATTAGTTTTGATAGCTTCAAGCTCGCAGTCTGAGACAATCTGAGAAAGATCCATTTTTCATCTTCTCGAAATCTTTTTCTTTGGTAATTTACGATCTCCAAAGGTGTCAAAAGTGAAGATATTAGGGATCGTTGTCTGGTTCAGATTTTGGTATGGAGTCCTCTGATTTGGACTACAGAACCTCCTGTTCAAAATAGATGGATGTCCAGGTTCAGGATCATGGATAACACTGAATTTTTTAGTTATAACGTCCTTGCTTGAGTTCACATTCTGTCTAATAGTAATCCTTCTCGAAATTGCCTTCTTTTTAGGAGAAGGTCTCTTTAGAGTCTTCACAATTGTGCTAGAGACTCCTTCAAATCTGCAATTTTTGCTGAAAATTCCCATCTTCTTAGTAGGAGATAAAGACTTCAGCTTGTGCTTGAAGTTTGCCATCTTTGATTTCTTCAAGCTATTGAGCTTCTTGCTTAGAAGAACATTCATTTTGTTAGCTGCTTCTATAAAACAGTCAGGGTTTTGTACAAGAAAAATTACCAGAAGGTCATTTAACATGACTCAAAAATGTAGACTTACTCTTTCTTAGAGATGGAGACGGATCATTTCAATTTACCATAGATAATTTCTTCGAGTAAGCTAAATTCTTTATATTTCTGAGCGGAGCAGGGCTCTTAATCTTCTTTCTTGGAGAAATGGCTTGGCATCCAGGACTCGAAGAGCTTTCAGTTGATTCTCCAATACGAGATTCTGAGAAAACTCTTCTTCTTTTCTTCTGAAATCTTTGCTTAATCAAGCTAGCCTTATGTCTAGAAAATCTCTTCTTAGGACACTCCTAAAAGAATCTTTAGCACTGATATTTTGTGAAAAGGTTCGAAAAATATGGCGAAATTTTATTTAAAGAGGAAATAATTTTATTCTGAATTTGAGCCTATTAAGTCATTTTAATAGTACTAAAATGATCAAAAATGATAAGGAATCAAAGAGACTAAATGAGTGTCTGAATTTGGAAAATATCTCCAGATCCCAGCAAAAGCCGGTATAAATTTAGTAGGAACTTATACTAAAGATGGAGGAATCGAACCTGGATACTTTTAGCCATAAATAAAGAAGGATACTGGATCTCCTTGTCTTCTCCATTTTCGTAAGAAGCAGTTTATCAGCTTTCGTTACTGGACTATTGTTATAACTAGGTAAAATCTAGAACAAAAATCTTGAAGAAGAACGGGAACGAATTTGTCTATTGTATAAATTTACTAGTAATGTTGGGGATAGATGGAGCTCGATTTCTTGGAGTTGACTTATCAACCAAGAATTTATTGCTGTCTCTCTAATTTTAGTAGTTGATAATTTTCAACACGAAATTAATAAAAACAGCTAATTAATAGTAATATTAGATTTTGAAAATTTCTCATGTGGAATATTTCTTAAGAGGTCCAGTAATGCGATCTTCATTTTCAGACTTATGTAGCGATAGGCCCTTAAGCATAATTTAACACGGCTCTCTACAGTTATAATTTATATAACTCAAGAAAAATGTCATATTTTAAGCAGGATTCTGCTCTTTTGGACTTAGAAGTTAATAGGAATCTGAAAATTTGGTAAAAATGTACTAATCCGCAAAGGGCAATCTGGGAAATGAAGCCACAAGTGCTGTATCTTTTCCCAAAATTAGACTAAAGATACACCCATTCAGTTGCCCATTTCAAAATGGGTGCTTTAGTAAAAGTATTTTGCCAATTATTTGGAAGAATATCTGAGGTGAAGTGTTCTTTGGGAAATAAGTTGCTCAAATCTGATATCTGATCAAAAATCATGAAGTTTTTAAGTGTCAGTATTTCAAACCTAACCTTTTGATTTATGGCAAGAATTTTGAGCAATCGAGAAAGATGTAGATCCGCTAGGATCAGTGCTCATTTTAGGATGGCAAATAACAATTGTGCTTATACAAGTTACATTTGGAGGGTTTTAAAAAGTGCTAGATTTACTTTGGATTGGGATATTGGTTGATAATACAAGAAATTTAGTAAGCAGGAAAATTAAATAATGTATCTCTAAGAGAAACGGCGCAGTGTTTGTTTTGTATAGGCACTGAATTTTGGGAAATCCTTCGAAGAAATTTTGAGAGGCAAGGGTAGGAATAATATTTACCTTAATTTCAGGGAGCTTATTGGCGTAAACAGTTGCTTTTACAGGAGATCTGCTGTCAGTCTATAGGTTTTGTTAGAGAAAATTGAGTAAGTTTTAAAGGATAACAACAAGCTAATCTGGTTGTAATTTTATAAATTAAAAATAGTGATTCTGAGTCCAGATTCATTAATAATTTTGCATAATGTGAGCTTTTTAAACGAAAGTGGTAATATTAAGTAAAGTATCAATGAAGAAAAAGGATGCTGAGGTTTGGACTTATTAGGGCATTAGGTGATAAGGAAAATGCAGCCCTTTATGAGCCTTTTGTGCTTTTAAAGAAAACTCAAATTTTACCCTCTATCATGCTAAATTTCTTTCAAAAATCCCAAAACTCCAAGAATCTATCCAGGACTAAATAGCTCTCAAAAAGCAAATTTTCAGGTCTAATCAACCTGCTTTGTCTTTCCAACTACGCTTTATGCCTCCTCAATATCTCCTTTCCCAAAGCCTCAATGAAAATTCTTTGTCTTCAGTCCAAATCCACTCTACACCCTCTCTTTAGTCCTGACACTCTCTTCTCTCATAAACTAATAGCTATTCATCTCTAAAACAGAGCTCTTTGAAGTGAAATCTTGTCAAAAATAGGCTATTCCTGCTTACTTTTTGCATTGATTTTTCCATTGTTACTAGTGTTCAATTATATATATCAATGCGGCTTATATGATGTGGGGTTTTGGGGTTTTGGGGTTTTGGGGTTTTGGGG